TGATGGAAGTGTGCGGCTGTATTAAGGCAGCACCGGGTACTGAAATTTTGCACCCTTAACAATTTTGTGCATGGGGCAACCGCCCCTATAGCCCTTCCCATGCTATGCCACTGAGTGCAAGCCGCCTGGGAAAACACAGTTATTTTGAAAAGCAGCTAACAATTTTTACTACTACTACTACTACTACTAATAATAATTTATTATTTATACCCCGCCCATCTGGCTGAGTTTCCCCAGTCACTCTGGGTGGCTACCAATCAAGTGTTTAAAACAGTACAGCGTTAATTATTAAAAACATCCCTGAAGAGCCTGAAGAGGACTGCCTTCAGATGTATTTTAAAGATAGGATAGCTGCTTATTTCCTTCACATCTGAAGGGAGGGTGTTCCACAGGGTGGGCGCCACTACCGAGAAGGCCCTCTGTCTGGTTCCCTGTAACCTCACTTCTTGCAATGAGGGAACCGCCAGAAGGCCCTCGGCGCTGGATCTCAGTGTCCGGGCTGAACGATGGGGGTGGAGATGCTCCTTCAGGTATACAGGACTGAGGCCGTTTAGGGCTTTTTTATTTACTAAATAAAATTCCCGTGCAGTCTCTGCTTAAACATCTCCAGTGAAGGAGAGCTCACCATCTTCCAAGCCGTTGTTCAAAGCTCGTACTGTGAGGGCGTTTCTCCTAATGTTTTATGATAGTGTCCACCTGCTGCTTCCTCTGTTCCAGAGCAGATGAAAGCTTTGGCCTCTGGTGCCAATGCTCAAGTTGGCCTTCGATAAGCTCATGCTTCCTTTTCATAACAAGAGCTTACCTGCACAGTTTGAGTGGTAAATTAGGCAATGCATTATTATTGATGTTTATCTACCCAACCAGATATGGCTGCTATGAAACTGGAAGCTCTTTCAATGTAGCTGGAACCCTAAAACACTTGATGCCCTCCGTATGTTGTTGGACCACAGCTCCCTTTATCGCTGGCTGGGGCTGAGGGGAAATAGAGTTCAAAGCATCAGGCTGGCAGGAAGTTGAGGTAGGCTGCTTTAGACAATAAATATACACACATATTTACAAGATAGCTGGATCCCTCCTGTATTTGTAATGTAGATTGGCAGAAATGCCTCTATCCACCTGATAGCTCTAGCACAGATTCTACTATAGCCTTGGCCACTTTCAGACATCAGGTTAGTCAGGGCTGGACCAAGACATTTATCTGCCTGAGCCAAAACACAAGATGTCACAGACTGGTTGGATGCAGAGGAATAGTGAGAGGAATCAGCTGGGGAAGAAGGCTCAGAGCCAGGGGATTGGTGATGGGATGGTGATGTGTGGTAAGAGAGAGAAGACTGGGAGGAGGTGTCAGAAGCTGAAAACAGGGTTTAGTGAGTGGGGTCTGTCGCAGAGAGAAGTCCAGAATCAGAAACTGAAGCAGGAGAGTGGAATGACGGAGCACAAGAGGCAGAGATGAGTCAGGCTGGTGAAGAGGCATGGGTATATTCTCCTGCTGTGGCAAGCTTCCATCCCTTGCTGGTCTCCAGAACCAGGAGAGGCATGAAGAGATTAGCTTCACACAGGCACAGTCTCAGATTGCTTGGGAAAACCCTTGGAGAGGAAGGGACTTAGGCAGCTGTGGGGAAATGGGGACATTCAGTCTCAGTAACTGCTTCATGGAGGGAAAACCTATGAAGAACTGCTGTGCTCATTGACACTCCTGTGTTAGATCCTCTCCTTGCTAATAAACATGAACTCCAACTTTCTCGGTGTGATTTACTGCCGTCTTGCTCCTGTCACAAGCTAATGCATGGCCCCGTCCAAAGCCAGCAAGATTCTAGTTGACTTCATCGCAGGTGATGGAGAGCATCCTTCACCAAACTTGAGTGCTAGCTTAGGGAACACGGGGCACTCCGTACGACTCAAGGAACTCTTGCTGCTCCAAGTCCCTTATCATCAGCTGCCTGAAGCAGCTGCCTCATTCTGCCTGATGATAAGGCTGGCCCTGCAGTAAATCATAGCTAATGGTTTGATGTGCTTAAGCCAACTTGCCAGCTTTTCTTCTTTCCGCTCACACGGGGAGAAACAAACCATGGCCCTCAGATTAACATTACTTCTGAAGCAGGGACTGTGATTTGTTTAGTTCCAAACAATCTACAATGATAAGCCAAGGTTTTCTTGGCTTATTGGTTGCCGTTTGTTTAGAGCGAAACAAACCATGACTCCTGGTTTGGATGTAACACTGATCCAAGGATTGTGGCTTATTTTTTCCCCACCACAAGCTCAGATGCAACAAATTATTGTCTATGTTGATGTCTGAATGTTGCAAAGAAAGAGAAACATATTTAACCAAAATAAATAGTACTTTGTGGCAAGTGAATTTATGTCTGTTTTAACAAATTTGCCTTGTGGAAAATGCTTTATGTAGATCATTTCCTGGTGAAACTATTATCCATTGGGTGAAATCATGTGTGTGTGTGTGTGTGTGTGTGTGCGTAAACTGGTTTGTGGACTTTGAACTCTGCAGCTATTTTGCTGAAACAAAGACTGGTGATAACTGGTATTCTAATCACAGATATTTAGTTACTTATTAAATCTGCAAAACTCTTGCATCAAAGTGAGTAACTTGGTTTATTGCAGGGTGTGAGTGTGAGGTGAGCAGTTTTTAAAGTTCATTTAAAGTTCATTTATTTATATTAAAATGGAGGAGCCCACAGCAAATAAAAATATTTATACCAATAGTCAGTACAGTGGTGCCCCGCAAGACGAATGCCTCGCAAGACGGAAAAACCGCTAGACGAAAGGGTTTTCCGTTTTGAAGTTGCTTCGCAGGACGAATTCCCCTATGGGCTTGCTTCGCAAGACGAAAATACCTTGCGAGTCTTGAGATTTTTTTCGCTTCCCCTTTATCTAATCTGCTAAGCCTTTAATAGCCTTTAATAGCCTTTTAGCAGCTAATCCCCTAAGCCTTTAAGCCTTTAATAGCCGCTAAACAGCTGATAGCGCTAATAGCGCTAATCCGTCAATGGGCTTGCTTCGCAAGACGAAAAAACCGCTAGACGAAGACTCTTGCGGAACGGATTAATTTCGTCTTGCGAGGCACCACTGTACCATCAAAAACAAAAGTGGATCGCTACAACAGAATACAGGAAGCAGCAATAAAACATTTAAACTGATGAAACCTAAAAATAGTAGGGCTGAAACAAATCTACATTGCAGAAAGTGACTTTTTTTCCGGACAGCAATGGAACACTTGCTAAGTAGGAGGAGATAGTGTAATCTCATGGAGCAGAGAGTTTCACATTCCTGAGTGCCATAGCAGAAAAGGCCCTGTCCACCATGTTTGACCACTGTTCAGGGTTGCTGGGAGCTGTAATCCAACAATTTCAGCAGGAAACCACATTGCTTACTTCCTGAGATAGGGAGTCCATTATTTAGGTACTCCAGTCCTAAAACCATTTAGGGTTTTAAAGGCTATAGCTGTTGAAGCTGACACTGCAGAGGGAATATCATCCCTACCATCTCAGATACATTAAGTTGGTAAGATGCCCTAATACCTTACCGTGGTCTTCAAATCTGAAGCTCTTTGTCTATAGAAACAGTTGCTAGGGTGGTGCACAGTACTGTATTTATATAGATGATTTGGACTGAACAGAAGTGCAGTCGTCTTCTTTTCCCCTTTCCAAGTATATGGATTCCAAAATAATGTGCATCATTTTTTGTGACTTGCTAATAAATGCAATGGCTAAAAATGATGAATAGCGCACCAATTCTCAAACTCTGTGCAGAATCTGCTCATACACGGAGAAATCATACGGCATTACAGTTGTAAGGTTTTTTCTGTTATTTCCTCATGTTCATCAACCCTCCAAGGAGGCAGGTAGTTCTTTTGTGACAAACACTCCTAATGCCAGGGCACAACTAAATGTTACAGACCTGATACAAAAAGCTATGATACAAAAGCTATATTGGTCAGATTCAATAGCTTTCTTTTCCTAACCTATCTAGAAGACTTCCCACCTACAGGAAGACATGTACATATTCCCTGTGTTGTACTATTCTGTGTGCATGAGATTGCAGTCTTCTTTCCTCTTTGTTTAGTTGTGTGTGTTTTTAAGCAATTGACATTTTTTTCTGCAGCTGATCTTTCCCATTTCCCCTCTTCACTTAGGTTCCTCAGCATCAGATGCACAACAGATTGGTTTCTGTTAAGTGACATTAAAAATTAAAATAACTGAAAAGCATGCCCTGCCACCTTTGTCTAAGGTTAAAAAAAGAAGTATCTTTAATTGGCATTCAGAATATTCATTAGCATATCAGCTGCTTTTTGACACAAGGAAGAAAAGAACCCACATAATTATATATCATCATTGTCAACTGATTGCCCTGGTATGTACATCTTCTAAGGCACATTACAGAGCCTCACCTTTAGGGATGTACTAGGTGGTTACACCGTGTGTGTGTGTTTATATTTGATTTTAAAAGACTAATAGATGAACATTTTATTTATTTGTAAAAGTAGTTATATACCACCATTTATATACTGCAATATCAGGGGTGGTATACAGCAGTGAAACATAAAATGTCATTTAAGAAAGTACAAAGCAATCATTAAAATAACTGGTTGGTCTGAAATGTTTTAAGCAGCTGCGTTAAAAAGTCAGCCAGTCTTCCAAGAGATTCCTGAGAGTCAAAGATGCCTTCTGAATCTCTGCTGGAAGAGTGCTCCACAGCCTGGGACCAGTGATACTAAATGCCCAACATCTAGTAGACGCTAGTCAGGCGCCATGGCACAAGGGACAACTAACAGTGCTCCTCTGAATGATCTCAGTGAACAGGGTTCAGGCAGTCCTTACCACTGGACCTAGAAGAAAACGAAGGGGTTGAAGCCCCACCGAACATAATGGGACTTATCTCTGAGTAAAGATGTCTAGGATTGCACTGGAAGTCTGATACTTTATGATCATGTGAAGCCGTTCTATACTGAGTTAGGCCCTTGGCCCATTTCACCTAGTATTCATTCAGCTTACTGGGTAGCTCAGTCAGTCGAGCACGAGACTCTCAATCTCAGGCTTGTGGGTTCGAGCCCCACGTTGGGCAAAAGATTCCTGCGTTGCAGAACTAGGATAACCCTCTTGGTCCCTTTCAACTCTACAATTCTGCGATTCTATTTGATGCCAATTATGCATGTGTTGTTGTTGTTCGTATTAACATGGAAGTTTACAAAGAATGAGGGTCCTTTCCTCAAGAGGAAGAGGAGGGTGATGAAGTTGGGGGAAGTCCCGCCCTGTGGAACGCCCTCCCATCAGATGTCAAAGCGATAAATAACTACCTGACATTCAGAAGACATCTTAAGGCAGCCCTGTTCAGGGAAGTTTTTTTTTAATTGATATTTATTAAAGTTTCAAAGAAAAGATTACATAGATAAAAAGAAGAGAAAAAGAAAAAGAAATAAAGAAGAAAAAATACACATTACAGAAAAAAGATAAGAAAAACACTTAAAAAACACATCGATCTTTCCATAACTTACATTTCATTTCCTTACTTCCTGTTCAGGGAAGTTTTTAATGTATGATATTTTAGTGTATTTTTGGTTTCTATGGAAGCCGCCCAGAGTGGCTGGGGAAACCCAGCCAGATGGGCGGGGTACAAATAATAAATTATTATTATTATTATTATTATTGGGGTACATGGGAAGGAACAGACTACTGCTAGAGCGCCATGTATTTAGGCTTGGTAATCCCAGGAAGGGGAACCTCTGGGCCTCAGATGTTACTAGACTGCAACTCTTTCATCCCTGACCATTGGCTGAGGCTGATGGGATTTGTAGTCCAAAAACATCGGCAGAGCCACAAGTTTCCCTTCCTTGATAGAGCCATTGCTATTAAAATAGTTGGGTTGCAGATGTGTTTCACTCGAATCTTGTGGCAGTTTATTGATTTCAACTGTATACAGTGGTACCTCGGGTTACAGACGCTTCAGGTTACAGACTCCGCTAACCCAGAAATAGTGCTTCAGGTTAAGAACTTTGCTTCAGGATGGGAATAGAAATCGCGCAGCAGCAGCGGGACGCCCCATTAGCTAAAGTGGTCTTCAGGTTAAGAACAGTTTCAGGTTAAGAATGGACCTCCAGAATGAATAAAGTTCTTAACCCGAGGTACCACTGTATAATAATGAGGGAGTCAGTTAGCTCCATCTAGCATGTGAACCCCTCTGCTGTCAACCTTTGAACCGGCATGTGATAAGAGGAAGCAATATAACTCCTGGGAGGCTTTTGATTGTTTTCCCTTCTTGAAGCAGGCTGAGTTGGGAAACCTGTGGAGAGGCCAGCCTTACCGCCTGATTCTCTGCTCTTTGATTCTCCTCAGGCTTGCTGTGCCCTCAAGTTTCACACAGAGCTCTCCCTAAGGCCCTGCCTCTTGCTAACACTCCTCCTGTTCTGTCAGCTGCTTACAGCCTTGTTTTTCTCTTCCCCCCGGGGTGTGGATTTTTGGCGCAGAATGCGGCCCTCCAGGCCTCTCTAGCCGGCCCTCAGGACCAGTGTTAGAAATTCAGATCCATAAGCTAGGCTCCAAATGGCTCCTTAAACCAAGGTTACAGTCGCTAAAACGGAATGTCTAGTTGCCATTTTGGAGTCAGATGGCTTTAAAATCTTGTTTTTCAAATGATGGACTGATTGATTCTCAGTTAAACATCTGGCTAGTGTGGTGTAGTGGTTAACAGTGGTAGACTCATAATCTGGTGACCTTGGGCTAGTCACACTTCTCTGAAGTCCCTCAGCCCCACTCACCTCACAGAGTGTTTGTTGTGGGGGAGGAAGGGAAAGGAGAATGTTAGCTGCTTTGAGACTCCTTCGGGTAGTGATAAAGCGGGATATCAAATCCAAATTCTTCTTCTTCTTCTTCTAGTTCAGATGACTACCTTGAGCCAGGTTAAGAACTTTGAGAGCTCAGAGAAGAAAAGTCACTTGATCCAGGGACAGTCCACTTATATTTTGGCCTATTCCTACCTCTTTTTCTTAATGGTGACACAGACCATTCCTAATGTAATGCTATTGCTCACAACTTGTGAGTAAGGTGGGGTGAGTTAAGACAAGCGACAACAATTAGCTATAACGTTGTTCGCTGCTCCTGCTCCGGCTGCACAGGAAAAGCATTTTGGTTCCAGAAATTCATTCCGATTGTGCAGATAAAACATAGCAGATAGAATTCTACAGGGTGGGATATTTGCGTGTGAAAACAGTCCAGATCCAACGATCCCCAGATGGTGGAGACGTCAGGCGCCATCCTTGGTCACAAGTTTCGAACACTGCCCAGGACTCATCCTAGGCCATGCCTTTACCCAAACCACACTCCTCACAGACTTTGCTCCACACCCTCCTCAGGTGCACTTGCCTGGCTGGAATGTGCCTTTCAACTGTGTTAATGGCCTTTGTTTGCCTGCATGGAGGATAGAGAGGTGTACAGTTGTACCTTGGTTCTCAAATGCCTTGGTACTTGTATGTTTTGGCTCCTGAATGCCGAAAACCCAGAAGTAAGTGTCCCAGTTTTCGAACATTTTTCGGAAATCGAATGTCTGATGCAGCTTCTGCTTGAGTACAGAGGGCCTCCTCGGTAGTGGCGCCCGCCCTGTGGAACACCCTCCCTTCAGATGTGAAGGAAATAAGCAGCTATCTTATCTTTACGAGACATCTGAAGGCAGCCCTGTTTAGGGAAGTTTTTAATATTTAATGCTGTATTGTTTTAACACTTGATTGGAAGCCGCCCAGAGTGTCTGGGGAAACTCAGCCAGATGGGCGGGGTATAAATAATAAATTATTATTATTATTATTATTATTATTATTATTATTATTGAGTACAGTAAGCCCCTGCAGCCAGTGGGAAGCCGCGCCTTGGTTTTTGAACATTTCAGAAGTCGAACGGACTTCAAGAATAGATTACGATTGAGAACCAAGGTATGACTGTATGTCTAAACCTCTAAGTTTTGCACGGCCGAAAGCCTACTGTACAAATTTACGTCCATTACTCAGCTCATTTTTGCCTCTGGCCAAGCTCGCCCCTGGCATGCAGATCCTTGAAGGTTTCCCACAAGGGAATGTGGCCTTCTTTGCCTTCCCCCCAAAAGGACTATTGGTTTTCCTTCTTTCTTAAAGAAAATGCTTTAAGATACTCAGGGTTTATTTTCAGTGGTGAGAACCGTAAAGTGGAACTTCCTGGTGTATATCTCCCCACTGTCTCCCAGAGTCTATATGGGAATCTCACAGGGCCATTGTAATGGATAATTGAATTGATAATTATTTGCAGCTGAATGGGAAATTGAAGTGTGAAGTATTCCTTGACCACATTTAATTTTATGTGGATTGCACCGTAATGGATTCATGGTGTGGAACTAATTCTTAGATTTTGTTATTTTTTGTGTCATCTTGTTGCCGGCTGGTACAAATCCTGAAAAGGGTATACAAATTCAAGTTGATTCTTCCCCAGCATCTGCATTTGACTTCTTTCTGGTAAGGTCAGCCAGTGAGGTAGAAACTTTTGAGATCACGCACCAGCAGTTCTCCATCCATCATATTCTAGAAGCCGGATGAACTCAGTGCTGGCAGAAAACACATTTTCCAATCCATAGACCCTGAAGTCCTTGCTGCTGATGTCTTCCCTCGTTGTACTTTTAACAGAATATTCATGGGAGAAAGTGAATTTGTGTTTTCCATGGAGGCAACGAAGAATGACGTGTGCATATAGTTTGGTCACTGGTAGGGAAATTGAATGTTTTTAAAGCATCAGCCCTACCTAGCTGGGGCAGGGAAGAGACAGGTGGTTTTTCATAATGGTATTTTCCCCATAGGACATCAGGCATGCACAAATTGCGAGCCACTAAAGCTGAAAGGTTATGGCCAGGTGTTTTTCAGCCCAAAGGAAACTGCAGAAGCAGGTGGCTCATTGATGCCCTATTTGGCCACCGTATAGGCTGTACTTGGGGTGGTGACCTGCTCTAGAATCTCCTTTACTGTTCAGGTGTATACTTACCTGCAGCACGCCCAAACCATGTGTCTCCTGGGAGAGTGCCTGTCGCCTCCCCCTCAGCTGTAGGGCGGCTGAGTAGGAGGAGGCAGGCATCCTGCCCCGGCTGGCCCCGCCTCTGTGGATGGCTGGCCCCACCCCTGGGGGCAGGGCACATGCGCTGCCCCAGGCACCCGATCGGCTTGCTCCGCTGCTGGACTCGGGTCCATTTGCCAAGGGCGGCCCATCACACACTCCCTCATACACAGTCTTCTCGCTTGGGATGAGAACCCTTTGAATAACCAGTTCCACCCCACTTATATATGTGGGGCTGGAGAGGCATGTCGGGGAAGCCCAGCCAGATGGGCGGGGTATAAATAATAAATTATTATTATTAGTAGTAGTAGTAGTATTAGTTCAGCATCTTGCCTTCTTCCTAGTCATTTATCTTACAGCTTTGTCAAAGACTTATGAATTGTGCACCCTTTACTATGGGCTAATGTTTAGACTGTGTGCTGAATTGTTGAATAAATCTTTTGGGTTTCTTTGAAATTCTGTGTCCAAGAGTCAGAGTCAGGACACTCCTCTATGAGTGAACACTGAAAATCACCTGTCAGTCACTTGACACCTGTTTAGGCCCACTGCCTGAAGGTCTCCAATTGCTGGTGTATGACTTCAGCACTATATGGCTGTTTTAAAAGGGAGAATACACTTTTAACATGAACAGGGGTTCCATGGCATTAAAAGACATTGATGTCCTGAAGGAGTGTCTTCTTGGATGTGCCCACTGCATTTTCACCAAAAGTCTGAAGGCAGAAATGGATGGGTTCAAATTGAGGCTGCTCCACAGAAACTGACGCCTGGCACAATCCATCAAATGTGGGGGGAAAGGCCAGCAAAGGACAAGGTGGCCCCCAAAAAAGTTTAAAATGGGATGCTTGCATAACCTGGAAAAGTTTTATTTAAGTTTGTTACGGAGTAGCTATCAAAAAACAAACAAACCCACCCACACATGCTTGTCTCCTTCTTTTGATTCCAAACAGCATTAGCTGAAACTTAAATCTGACTCTACGTCATCCTATACCTTTTGGCAGAAGAACA